CCGAGAGGCGCGAAAGCGGTTGCGGTTGGCAGCCTGCCGCTGCCCTTTCCCATCCCAGGCGCGGGAAACCGCGGCCCCCCGCATCCCACCCGCACCCCAGTTGGGCGCTCGGGGCCCACAGCGATCGTTGACCTCGTGCCCAGGTAGGTTTCTTGGCCATGCGTCCCGGTGGGTGTCCGTCCACTCGGGTACAGCCCCCCCCTCCCCCAGCTTTATCTGCCTTGGGATCCGCATCCTCCCGGGTCCCCAACAGTCCCTGCGGACTCGGCGGGTTCCTCTCCGCGCTGCCTGTACCTTTTGACCCAGGAGGGTCCCCTGGGACTTGCACAGCAGGTTTGATAAAGGTTGTGTTTATTTAAATATTTGGTGTGCCTGAGTTGGCCGGTCCCCTTTCCCCCACTTCGTTTCCTGCGCTTTGTTTGTCCTTGCTTCGGCGAGCCACCTGTGTGTATCCCACTTTGATTTGGGGAGAGAAAAGGCCGTTTCCTGACAGCTGGTTAAGTCCAGCCAGGTGTCCGGCTGATTAGCACCAGGTGGAACTAGCCAGTGGACCTGTGTGATGGGTATCTGGGGAACTTGCAGAACTCTGGTGACAGCCCTGTGGACACCAGTCATAAAGTGTCATTGGTGACACATCTAAGTTTAAAGGTGGTGGTAACCGAAAGGCACTTCCTGTCCCGTGACGGAGGCCAGCCCTAGGTGTCTCAGAGGACAGGTGTTTGGCTGTCTTGGAACACATGATGGGCTGTGGGATGAATGTGGTCTGACAGTTCCTGGGTCTGCCTTGAGGCTGGGGTCTGCCAGCACCAGCAGGGGGACAGCTGTGTCCTGGCAGTGGAATAAACCCCTTGGTTTCTGCCTGATTGAATTTAAAGTGGCTCCAATTGCCTTTTTTTTTGCTTCAGTAGACTTTTATGATAGAAAAATGGTACTATCATGACATAGATTATATATTTGCTATTCTTATGTAAGCGTTTTCGTGCCCCAGTTCTAAGGAGAATTTCACCAGTGTTCTAGAAGAAAATGTCCTGCCCCAAGGAAGTTTCCTTAGAATTGCAGGAGGCTGCTCAAAACTTCTCCTGGGGAGAGCTTTGTCCGTTGTTTGGGTCAGGCAGTGTTAGGAGGGGGTGTTTCTGAGCCCCACCAAGGAGGGGGCGTGGGAGTGGGGGTGTAAAGAAGAGAGAACTCTCCACCTGACACACTTAGGGGTGTGAAAGTCTCCTCATTTCTGTCAACACCGTGATTAAAACCAGGATATTGTTCGATCCAGCTGCTTTGCTGGTTTTTTTCAACACAGATTCTGATACAGGTAATGAGGCCTCTGTGTCTCTGTCTCTCTGTGTCTCTCTCTTTCCTCTTCTGCATTATAAAACAAAGAACTAGAAGGCAGGGCACTATATAGCAAGTGCGACTGAACAATGTCAACAGGATGAACAGAAAATTCTATCTTTACTTTTCCAATGCACATGCCCTGCACCTTCGATTCGGACTGAATCTTCCAAGAGCGTTGGTCAGACATCAGCTCTAAGGTTAAATCGGATAAATTGGTGAGAAAGGGAGAATTTTTTACCTTCTTGTACACTGATTAAAGTGCTAAATAGAATAAAACTGTGGAAAAGAAAACCATTTAACTTCCTTTGACATGTTAAAATGCTATATGGGACAAAATTGTAGGGCAATCTTTTTCAACCCTAACGTCTTGATTCAGGAGAACACTCTCCCAATGGCTGCATTGCCTATATATCAAGTGTCTGTTTAATCTGCTTGATCCGGGATGTCAGAACTAGGCTACAGAAGGGTTTTTTGTTTGTTTGTTTGTTTGTTTGTTTTTGCTTGGAGGGGGACCCTTTCTTTCTTCTGTTTGTATTTCCAGGATCTTTTAATTCTAAGTAAGCTGCCATGGCTGAGAAGGACACAGATTTGCTTGAAGGAGCAGAGACAGCTAATAAGACCCAGAAAAGACAAGTTTAACTTTATTATTTGCTTAGATACTTGAATTCTTTCAATTCAACACAATGTAATTCCATGGATTGTCCGTTTTATAAATGTAGACTCCTTAGGCAGAAAAAAAAAAAAAGATGTCCTGGTGGCTTAGTGTTTACACATTGGGCTGCTAACTGCAAGATCAGCAGTTTGAAACCACCAACTGCTCCAGGGGAGAAAGACAGGCTTTCTACTCTTGTAAATAGTTATAGTCTTAGAAACCCACAGGGGCAGTTCTACATTGTCCTATAGGGTTGCTATGAGTCAGAATCAACTCGATGACACTGAGTTTGAGTTTACGTTTTGAGGCAGAAAGAAAGAACTAATGCATTTCACTGTTTAGTTAATTTTGAAAAAGCATATTAATCCTAAATCCATGATTATTACTGGTTTGGAGTTAATTTTGAAAGAAAAAGTCACTGAAGATTTGAATCATTCAATTTAAAAAGCAGCTATTGTGCTGTTCCTTGGATGACCTGAGACCTGATGACAAAAAAAATACAGATTCCTTTTGGCTTAGGGAGAGAGTCAAAGTTTGTGTTTGCTGGTGTGTGTGTTTAATTGCTGATTGGAAAGTAGAGGGGAAGATGCAGTTTCTCAAACTCTCTCCGCCTGGGGCCCCTCCCTCACCCCTTTCCCTCTTCCTTTTTTTTTAAATACTCATGGAATGGATTTGAGTTTGGGACTGGGTGATCTGAGTGTTATTTTGAGAAAGAAAGGAATATTATCTTAAAAGAGCACCTCTGAATTTTCATGTATTCAAAGAATCTAACATCCGAAAACCAGTGGTGCCCACATGCCCCACAGAACCATTGAGGGGGAAGAAATGGGAAGCTGACATCAGGGGCTCCAGTGGGAAGAGAATGCGTTGAAAATGATGGTGGCGGCATATGTGCAAATGTGCTTGACACACGGGAGGAATGTATGGATTGTGATAAGAGATGTAAGAGCCCCCAATAAAAGTTGTTTTTTTTTTAATGTCCCAGAGAGTTCAAGCAGAAAACACACAAAGGAAAGAGGAATGTGGCCAACTACTATTTTCCCCACAGGTGGCATCCAGAAGCCAAGAAAAGCCTTTTCTGGCAGTACCATGCCTGTCCAGCCCTGGCTCTAGAACTCAAATAGTATAGATGTAGAAGAATGAAGGCTGAAGCCCCGAAGCAGAAACCTTGTCCTAATTCTTCTGTGTGTCTAATCTGTGGGGAAGTCCTGGGAAGTAAGGCTGTTAGGTTTGCGTGTTTGGGATTTAGCACTGCTTCCTTTTGTCCATTAACAACTCCCAATACCAAAGTGGAAATCAATAGAGATGGTTCTCCAGTTGATGACTTCCTGAATTACTTTGAAAGCATCGTTTCAAGATGGATGAAACTATCTAGATAAATATTCTTCCCACTTCTTTGGTTCAGGAGCCCGGGTGGTATAGTGGATTCCGTATTGGGCTGTTCGAAACCACCACCAGAGGAGGCTTTCTGCTCCTATAAAGACTGAGCTATTGCCAGTCTCAGAAACCCCCAAGGATAGTCTCACTCTGTCACTAGGGTCGCTAAGAGTCAGCGGTGAGTTTGGTTTGGGGTTTGGGGTTATTCTTTGGTTCTGTCATTAATGAAACAAAAATGGTATCATGAACAGGCGCATTGTGATTAAATTTACATTGTGACTAAGCATTTTTAAAGCAAACAAGAAGTTACGAATCGGTGTGTGATTTGGTCAGGTATTTTCCAAAAAAGGGGGGGTCGGGGGAGGTCCAGTACTGGAGAGGAATGTGATAGACCTAAATTACTTGGGTCATAAATGAGAAGAGCCATGGCGGCTCTTACAGGGAAGCCCATTCTCCTAGCATAGTTCACAGTATGGTTGCTTACGAGTCTACTGCATTTCTGAGTTAAATATTTGCAACTTAGCAGCTTCCGTGGCATGGCGTTCTGCACTATCCTTAGCTAGATGACAAACACACATGAAGGTGGCCTGTTTCAGGTTAACTCTAATTCAATTCTCTTCAGGGGAGGCCTACAGAAGCTAAGCATATCTCATCTTTCCTTAACAGAGAGCCAGGAAAGTGCCCGTTAAAATGAACCCCCCTGGTTTAAAAAGAGCTCATAGTTTACCTTTTCTTGAATAAGATCCTCCCATTGGCTGCAGCCCCCTCTCTTGAAGCACAAAAGGCAAGTGGTGTTTGGTTTTCTGAAACCTGCCAAGGGTTCTGATGGGTTCTCGGGAGAGGAGGTCTGGAAATGCGTGAAATTTTCATAAAGAAGAGTGGACCTTCTAATCTTCCCTAAGAAAAATGTCTCCAGGGGGTTGTGTGTTCCCATAAGAGAAGGCCTGAGCTCTGGAACTTAAATGGCCTTCACTTAGTCCCGGGGCCATGCCGGTGGTCTGTGCACACACTGCCCAAGCGCTCCGTTTGCAGAGCTGCTAAGCGCTATCCGATCAGGAGGAGCCAATGGAGTCTGGCGACTTCCTTTAGAAGCTGCAGAGCAAAGTCCTTTGCCATCTGTGAGCGCATCTCCTGGGGCAGCAGCTGGGCCTGGCCAATGACGTAGTAATATGCCCGGAAGTTAAGAGGGTCCCACCCCAAAAGAGTTACCAGACCTGCTTCTTAACACTTTGAAGGCTGAGTTTCTGTCCTTGCTCCTGTCCCCCAGAGAACGATGTGCAGGATTGACCCACGGGCACGCTGAGTACGCCCTGGGAATGCATGGACGGGAGGAGCGGTGAATAGAGGATGGGAAGAGAGCTGTCGACAGAGGAGAAGCCTGCCCTGTGAGGGAAGATGGGATCCAATTTGCCCTTCAGGCAGCATTTTTGGGACAATGGCGAGTTATGAAAAGAAAACAACCCTTCCTTGTGAATCATTTCTGCTGTTAAAAATAATAGCACCTTTGTGGTTCTTGCAGGAGGCTACTTTGAATCAGGTGCTTCGTGTTCAGCCTGATGAATTGTCCCGAATGACCAGTGGGCTAGACATGTTTGTATTGGGGTTTAACCACTTAGTTTTCTTAGTGACAGAAGCCTCTCCTTCTTTTGCTTCCCTTAAAAGCGCACGTGAATTGCTAGATTTGAGCATCAGGGTCCATGACCAGACCAAACCCACACGCCATTCAGCGACCCTATAGGAAAGAGTGGAACTAACCTAGAGGATCTCCAAGGCTGGAAGCCTTCCGGAAGCAGACTGCCATATGTTTCTCCTAAGGAGAAGCTGGTGGGTTTGAACCTCCAACCTTTAGTTAGCAGAAAAGTGCCTTAACTACTGTGACACCAGGTCTCCTTCCTTATTTTGCAAGTCAGGGTATTTGTCCTTCTCCAGGCCTAGGGCCCCACTCGTTCTGAATAATGAAATTCAGTTCCTATTGGTAAGTTGTTTTCCGTGTTCTCAGCTTTTGTTCCAGGAGCTCTGGTGGCTCTGTAGATCAGGCATCAGACTGCTAACCTCAAGGCCAGGGGTCCAAACCCACCAGTAACTCTTGGTGTCAGCAAATGAAAGATAGGGCTGTCTGGATAGGGTCACTATGAGTCGGAATTGATTCAATGGCCATGAGCTTGGGCTTGGCATTGATTAAGGGTTAGTTTGTCTGGGAATGGAAACCAGAGCTCCTTTATACCCTGGGAGGCTGGGGGAGTGGTGGGGGAGGTGGACTTGCACCTCCCTGGTACCATGTGTTTGTTTTCTTAGAAATAATTTGAGATGTTTCTCTTGGATAATTAATAACTAAAATCAGAGTTTCTGCCCTTTGTCAGTTATTCATTAAAATGGTGCCATTTTCTCCGAGGATTATATCCATCTTTTTTGTTGTTGTTCCTTGGCTCAAATAACTTATTTTTCCTTCTTTTTCATATCCCCACTATTGTCTTTCCTCCTTTCCTTCCTTTTTGACTCAGTCGACTCATTTAGGACGTAAACGTCTTGGTGCTCTCTGCACAGGTTGGGGCCACTCTCCTCCAGTTGCGTGGCTGTGTGGGTCAGCTTCCGTATTCAGTCACGTTAACATCTGAGCTCATCACCCTGCCCTCCCTCACCTGAGTCTCCAGGAACCGTACCCTTTTAAGGATCCTTCACACACCCCTTTCTTGAGTGAGCTCCCTTTTCGAGTCTCTGCCTACTGAACTCTACCCCTCCTTTTTGAAAGAATAAATAAAGAAATCAGTATCCCTTCCACATCCCTCTAGTCTAAACTGAGTGAGAAACCATAATTTGAGTGTTTCTGTGAGGTAGCCAAAGGCAGAACTAGGGGTTGTCCCTCTACATGCCAAAGCCTCCTTCCCCTTACAGGAAGTTGGAAACTGCTTAAGGCTAGAGGACATGCTCACATTCTGGCCTTTGAGACAGGAAGTCAGTACACCTGGATGGGACCCCATCTAGGCCAGGTGGGCTTCAGTCAACCAATGGGATCAACCAGTACC